GGCCACCACTCTGTTGGCATTTGTCGTCCTGGTGCCAGAGACAGAGTCCCTCCCCACTTCCAGGATATAGCCTTTTCTTTGCTTTGCTTACTGGTTTTCACGTTAACTTGGTCCTTAGGGTATAGTTGGGAAAAACAGATGAACTATCCCCAAGAAATGCTGAACAATAGCCCCGGCCTTTCTAGATACCTAGCTGACTTTAGGAGCTCTCTCCCCCACTTAGGACTAAGGAAATTGGCTCTGTAAGTACACTAAGCAAAACACGAGCAGCCTGCCCAGACACTGTGGATCACCAACTTTCCATTGGTGTAGAAATCTTTTCTTGTTTTCCATGCCAGCAGTGGCCACAGAGGTAAGTGGACATACCCAGTGACCATTAGGTTATGACATCCATGGCTCCTTTATCTGAGGACATTACATCATGGACTTTGGGTGATAAAGGCCATGCACTTCTCTAAGTGGTTCTGGACCTTGATGATGGACGTATAGAAGGTACCATCAGTAAACAGTGTTCTACTGAGGGGAGTTAGGCCCGACTTACCCATAAGACGATGTTACCCTAAATGAGTCAGTTCCTTAGTGATTTACCTAATCGCTTTAAAAGACCGCCTACCTTGTTTTCACATTTCCACAGCTGGTAAAATTTCAGATAATTCTTTTTTTTTTTTTTTTTAGTTTTTTTTATTTATTTCTAGGAGAGAGAGAGAGAGAGACAGCGTGAGCAGGGGAGGGTCAGAGAGAGAGGGAGTCACAGACTGAAACAGGCTCCAGGCTCTGAGCTGGCAGTCAGCACAGAGCCGGACGCGGGGCTTGAACCCATGAACCGCGAGATCATGACCTAAGCGAAAGTCGGACGCTTAACTGACTAAGCCATCCAGGCGCCCCAAATTTCAGATGATTCTTAACCTGCCTCTACCATGCATAACCCTGACCTCATGAAGGTGACAGTACCAACCCTTTCGCTGCCACCCCAGGCTTCCTCTATTTTGAGTTGCTGACCTTTCTCCCAGAATATGCTATGCTTTCTTATCCTCTGGTACCTCTGTACACCCTATTTCTTCTGCTTAGAATGTCCTAGCTTGGTTTGTCTGACTGGTAAACTTATTTATTTATTTGTTTGTTTGTTTTACATTTATTTGTTATTGACAGAGAAAGAGCATGAAGGGGGGAGGGGCAGAGAAAGAAGGAGACACAGAATCTGCAGCAGGCTCCAGGCTCTGAGCTGTCAGTACAGAGCCCCACATGGGGCCCGAACCCACAAACTGTGAGATCGTGACCTGAACTTACTGAGTCACCCAGGTGCCCCATGACTGGCAAACTCCTAAGCATCTTTAAAGCCTGGATGAGGGGGCACCTAGATGACTCAGTCAGTAGCCCTCCAACTCTTGGTTTTCGCTCCGGTCATGATCTCATAGTTCATGAGTTCAAGCCCCTTATTAGGCTCTGTGCTGACAGTGAGAAGCCTACTTGGGATTCTCTTTCTCCCTCTTTCTCTGGCCCTTTCCTTCTTGTGCACGTGCTCTCTTTCTTTCTCTCTCTCAAAATAAATAAATAAGCATTAAAAAAGTTTTAAGCCTTTACTGAAGCACAGCCTTCTTGATGCCAGTCACCACTTAGATACAGTTCATGTTCCCTCCATGAGCCTCCATTGTACCCTTGATTTCTGCCCCATCACATCATTAAATATCTTGTCTCCCCTCCTGGACTGAGAGCTTCTTAATAACAATGACAAGAGTCAGAGATTTTTTATTTAACTTTGTAATTCCAGTACTAAAAGTGTCAAAAATATGTTAGATGCTTACTGTTTCTGGGTTAATTGGATAAAAGAATGTGGTCCTAAGAGTTTGCCAGACTGAAGCCTAGGGCACCACGTTTGATGATTCATCATATCCTGTGGGCCTTACACATACTAAATTCTTTGTAAATGTTTCTGGGATAAAGGGATTAAATGAATGAATGTGTTTCAGAACCAGCGATTTTCTTGTTGATCTCCAACTTCTCTATGATCACTATTTTTCCCTGAAAAACAACTTCTTCCACAAGGCTCCATTCTGAGTTCCCCAAAGTTTCCTTCTTTCTAATCTAGCCCCATCCTGTCTACCTACCTGTTATTTGAATCTAGATCTTATAAACCTGCAAAACAAATAGAGTTTTTCCAACAGACAAGAATCAAAGAGCAGACACACTTAACTAAGGGACTGGAGCCCGCAGAGGAGATTACTATTAACATCAATACACCTCTGGTCAGGTTGTGAGTTGTGAAGATGAAATATGAGAATATTTGTGAAAGTGTTTTATAATATTTGTGAAAGAATTTTATGAAGAGGTAAGTATCCAGGATAATTAATAAGCATGAGGGTAATAATCCCTGGCATTAACCCAGTTCATTCTTCTTCAAAGTTCAAGGAGTTTGTCAAATACATTTGCACACATATTTGACATTAATTCAGGCTGAACGCATCAATATTTACCATAATGAGAGAAATCCAAGAAATTGCAAATACTCATTTGAGCTAAGTAAGAATACAAATTTGAAAGTTGTACCATTTATACTTAAAATAGCCAAAGAGTGGACTAATTGCAAACTTTCCCTAAGACAAGAAACCACAAGAAACAAAATTGTAATTATTTACTTGCTGTGTCATAAGACAATATACTAAGAAAAGTTCCCCAAACACGTATCTCTTTCTTTCTTTGATTAAAGTTAATGATTCTTTGTGTCCTTCTGTTAAAAAAAATTCCTCTTTTTCCTCATGTTTAATGCATAGATTAATATTACTAATTTGGATTTTACAAACCATGACTTTGAGTAGGTAGCATTTGGCTTATTCATGAAAAAGCAGTGCCTATTTTCCATTGATGTATGGCAAGAATGACTTAAGTGAAAAGGTTGTCACGTTATATTAAAATTGATATTTTGCTTCAAATTTTTTATTTGCATATCAGTAATATGGAGCACGCATTTACAAAAAAAGGAATACAGTATGAAAATAATGGTTTTGAAATAGAAAGAAGGAAGGAGGTGTGAGTTTCTTCAAAATCCAAGGTGATGTAATAGAAAGTACAGCGAAATTAGATCTGGAGCCTGGGAATGGGTTCTGGCTTCCTCTCTGCTATGAAGTAGCCCCTTTTCTTTTATTTAATTCTGAGCACTACGTGTTTCCCCAGTGAATCTGAATGAGAAGGCAGGCAAAAGGGAGTAGGTCTTAGGCATATTATCGGATTGATTATTTCACTATGGTTCTCTTTGATTAGGCGAAGGCACCAAGAAGATTTTTCTTTCGTTTTTTTTTTTTTTTGGAGGGACATACCGGTAGGCAAAATTCGACTCTGCCACCTGTTCCCTCTGACAATGCTCACTATCCTTAATGCCCTAGAGACTCTGAGAGGGTCACATTCTATCTTTGAAACACTCCGTGTTTTTGGCATTTGTATAAAGTGAGTGTGATCTCTCCGGGAGGTTGCTATGACAATTTGCAAACAGTAGGGGCGATGGGACTCCACAGGAGGCGGCCTCTTTCGGATTTGAGTCTGCGCTAGTTCAGGCCTGCAAACTTGGTCCAGCCAGAGGCCCTGCAAGCTACTGGAGGCAGAGCATAATGGACCCAGGTTCCCCGGAACTTCAGAAACTGGGTACCCCTCCGTAAGGAAGTGCCCCCACCCCTCCCAATAGCTTTCGGGCCTGTCGTCCGCGAGTGCCTGGCTTTCTCCTCCTTCCTGTTGAGGTGACAAAACCTGTGACCTTTGTACAAAGGCTGTTCCCACAAGGCAGGACGCAGGTGTGAGACGGACAAGCAGTTTTTCAGCCTGCAAGGGAAAGAGGCTGTAGATGGCAAGTTACAAGGGCAGGGAAATTCGGGAAATTCTCCACGTGTCTTGGAAGGGAAGGGGGGAGAGACTCGCCTCTGGGAATGAGAAGAATTAAAGGTGTCTCTCCTACCGCGGAGAGCAGAAAGGAAGGTGTGTCCCTCCCAGTGGCCGCGCAGGGAAAAGGCTCGGAGTTGTAAGGAAATGGGAGGCGTCTCTGATGTTTATTTTTGCCTAGCAACCTACAGCCAACTGCTTCCCCAGCAGCCATCCGCGAGCGCCTCTCAGCCTCCCCTGTCCTAGAGACTGGAAAGCGGTCACTTGGTGTCAGTAAATCGGGGAGGGTGTGTACGGTGGAGGTGGAGGTGGGAGGGCAGCCCCCTCCCTCGCCCATGCTCGGGGGTTCATCAAGATAAGCTGCGGCCCTCCTTCAGGCTTGACTTATCGAGGTGACCCTCGCACAACTAAGTTTTTTACACGATAAAACGGGGAGAGGGGGTTGTTAAGCCACTGGGACCAGGAAGGGGGACAGTATTGTCTGTGAGCAGCCATCGGGTTCAGAAAGCTGAAAATGCCTGTGTTTGGGGGCGCTCATGGAAGGGGAGGGGTCTCTGCAGAGATTTCGGTGGAGGGAAGCAGTGGTAGGTTGCACGGTGGGGAAAACGGCGGGGTGCTGCAGGGGCTAGAGGCCTCGGAGGGGAAAAGGTCGTTCGGAGGGGAGGCGAGGGGAGCCGCACAGATGGCCGGAGGGGGAGGCGGAGGCCGAGCGGAGACAGCAGACTTTTCCGGGGAGTGGAGGGGTGGCTATGCAGATGACTGGGTGGGGTAGGGACTCGGGAGGGTGGCTGGGTGGGGGTGGGGTGTACGTGAGCGTGTGTGGCTAGGCCGGGGGAGGGGGGGGGAGTCGGGGCGGGGGGGAGTCCGGGGGCGGGGCCTGCACCGGCGGCGGAGGGGAGCGGGGGCGGGGCTGCTCTCCCGGGCCGCGCCGCGCGCGGGCGCCAGTGCGGGTGTGCGCGGGGGGCGCGCGCGCGCGAGCCCGGGAGGAGGCTCCCGAGCGAGTCGGTCCTGGCGGCGCAGCCCGCTCCCCCGCGCCCTATGTGAGGGACTCGGGGAGGCCAGCGGCGCGCAGGGGAGGGCGAGGCATGTGCACGGGCCGGGGGGTGCTGCAGCCGCCCGAGGAAGAGGAGGGCGGCGGCGGCGGCGAGGAGGAGAGCGGGGGACTCGCGGCGGCGGGCCCGGGCCGCGGGGATGCAGCGGACTGTGTGTGTCTGGCTGTAGCTGACGCGAGGCGGCGAGGAGGCGCCGGAGACCCGCGAGAGGGGCGACCAGGAGGCGGCGGCGGCCGCGAGAAGTAGCAGGACCGGCGGCGGCGGAGACGGCAGCCCTGAAATGCATTTTCTTCTCCAGCGGCCATGTTAACCAGGAAACCTTCGGCCGCAGCTCCCGCCGCCTACCCGACCGGTAAGGAGGGCCTGGCCGCCACGCCGCCCCCGGCGCCTGCCCCCGCCGGCACCCCGCGCGGCTCGGGTCCACCCCTCCCGGCGCGGGCGCCCGCCGCCCGCGGGACCTCGAACAAAGTCCGCGCCGTGGCGGGGCCCCGGGGCGGACGGCGCGCCCCCGACTCGGCTCCTCTCATTGTTGCACGCCGGCCCCGGGGCTCCTCCGAGTGGAGCCCTCCGACCCGGCCGGCGGGGGACGTCCCGGGCCTGCCCCCGCCCGGGACTCGGCGAGGCCGTCGCGCCCCGGTCGGCGGTCCAATCCCTTTCCCGGCCTGCGGCCGCTTGCAACGTGGGCCGCCCGGCTGCAGCCCGGGCCCGGCCCGGCCCCGTCGCGGGGTCGCGAACTCGAGCGCCGGCGCCCGACTTAACTTTGCAGCTGCCGGAGTCCTGCCCGGGGGTGCGCGCCGGGGATCCGTGACCCGGGCGCCCTTTTATTTCTCTGGACGCCAGTTTTTACCGTCCCGTCTCTCTGTCAGGGAGAGCGGGGTTCGCTACCCACAGGGGTGGGGCGGGGCGACGGGTTCTGGGTGACTTTCTCCCCCCTGACCCTCTTTTGTCTCCTCCCGCGCGTGGCTCCCAGGCAGAGGAGGGGACAGCGCCATTCGTCAGCTTCAGGCTTCCCCGGGGCTCGGTGCGGGGGCTCCCCGGAGCGGAGTGGGGACCGGCCCGCCCTCCCCGATCGCCCTGCCGCCTCTCCGGGCCAGCAACGCTGCCGCCGCAGCCCACACGGTGAGACCCAGCCCCGCGGGAGCCCGGGGTGGAGGGGAAGGGGTGCGGGAGGGGCCCGGGGCATAAACACCCCGACTCGTGGGGTTCTGACGCCGGGAGGAGAGAGGTCGAAGTGCGAGTATCTCCACGCCTCTGGCTAGTGGCCTCTCCTGGACGCCACCCTATGCAACTTGGGCGAAATGAGAGCTGCAGCCACAAAGGAAGATTTGTGGCATGGGCCCCTCACTTCCCCTCCGAAGCCCGCCCACCCCTGCGCTCCTCTTCCTCGGAACTTCCTCCCTGCTGCTTTTCTTCTTTTTTTTTTTTTTTTTCCCTCCTTTTTCGTCCTTGCTTCCCAGGTCTCCTTTCCCTGACCGGGTAAACATCCTCCAGTCCCCTCCCCCCCTCCCCCCCCACGTTGGGTAGTGGGTATTTATAGAACAGATATGTGTTAGGGGACAGTCAGGCTGTCCTGCCCGGAAAATCGATCCCCCAAAGAGCCTCCCAGGCCTGGCTCCAGTCAGCAGGGAGCACTGCCAATTGTCCCCCGCGTGTGGAAGCATGTTTTATGAGTGGTACAGGTTAGAGCACAACAGAAATTGTAATTAACATTAACAAAAATAAGAGCCACAGCAGCAGTCAAAACAACAAGCCACCCCTGTAGGATTCTGCATTTGGATATTATTTAAAAGGAAAGAGTCGGCTTTGCTTTGGAAGTGAGAAGGGAAGGGCACCTGGCAGGTGCTGCGGTCCCTCTGTGGGTGGGGAGGGAGGGGAGAGCCCAGCGTGGGACTAGTGGCTGCAGATTGGCAAACTGGATTTGACTTCAGCATGTACCTTTTCTCTGCTCCCAGAGATCGCCCTTGGAAGGTGACCGCCAGCCTAGAGGAGGTGTGCACTTCTGGAGGAGCGATGGCTTCCCAGGTCCTATTTCCAATTGGGTCCTCCAGAGGAATGGCCTGAGGTGGTTCTGTATGAGGGATGCTTGGTAGGGATAGGGCTTCATTTGCCTAGCGAAACTTGAGTTCTTGTAGAAGAAGGCCGCTCCCAGTCTACAGAGACCCAGCTCTGAGGGTCACGTGTTACGGGGAAACTTGTTCATTAGAGGAGAATTTGTGAGAGGATGGTTACAGTGGGGCATCTCCCCTTAGACCTGGATGGATGGGTACAGGTTTTATAGGAATCCATTTTGTTAGATATTCATTTTCTCCCTCCCTCCCTTCTCTCTTTCTCCTCCCCACCCCCCAAACGTGTGACCAGGGGCTAAGAATTCATTACACAGAAGTTAACTGATCTGTGTTGTACTGTTGGTGGTGGAAGAGAATCTGTCAGTAGGCTGGTTGATACCTTATGGTTGAATATTCCTGTTACAGTGACATGTTAGTTGAGGAATTGCCATTGGTTTTAGGGATTTGGGTTTATTTGTTTGGTTTGGAATCATCTGAGAATTAGAAAATGTAGCATCCACTTTTTTCCATGTGTGGATATAATCACATGACCTGATGTGACCTGGATTTCGTCTGGATTCCAAGAGTGGGCTTTCTTAGATCAGAGCCTTTTCCCAATAGACATATGCAACCGGATTAGAGAAGACGAAAGGTGTCCACTGGAGGAACAGGCTGTGTTGGGCCAGGGATGAAAAAATGCGAGGTTCCTTCTCAGGACTCCCAGAAGCGGATGCTTGTATTTTGCTGTGGTATCTGGGTGATTTACCTGTTATAACCTTATAGTTAAAATTCCAGTATGCTATTATTGATCATTGGAAACTTGGTTTTGAAAGTGTGATTTAGGTGTTTTGATTGTGGCTTAGTTTTGATTTGATTTGCACAGCATTTCAGGAAAGTTGGGAAAAAAAAAAAAAGCAAACAACACAGTATTTATCTGGTTCACCTCCTTCATTTTACTGATGAGGAAACAGTCTGAGAAATGAACTGGTTTGGTCAAGATTCCCCAGCCAGTTCCTATGAAGGCTGGAGCTAAAGCTGGGCCTTCCTGAGCCTCGTGGACACTGCTTATCCTAGGAAGTGGTGTTCATTTCATGACAAATGCAGAAACTTTTGCAGAGCCATAGACCCGTATGTCTTTCAGGTGCTTTTAAGTTTTTAGTTGTTATTTCCACAGCAATTACACTTGGGAAGAGCTGTTTTAGAATAATGGGGGAGATTAAGGAGAGAAAAATGATCTTGTCACAGGAGCTTGTCCATATTTCCCCTTGTAAAGTATATATCAGGCAGGTAAATATATGATTATAAAGAGTATGAACTTTGGAATTTATTTAGTCCATTGCCCTTTTGTTCCCTGTCTCCATGGATATATTATTGCATACATAGTTGTTTTGTTTATTTCTGTCTGTCTGAATAGTGTACCCAGTAACTGTCTGGATTCCTATTTTTTTTTTCTTTTGCTGTTGTATTGGAAATAATAATATATACTTAGTTCCCAAATGTTAGTATTCTGTCACTTTCATAACTGTTCCAATGTTTACAGCAGTCTCTAGTTACCTAATTGGGATTAATGAAGAATGAATGTTCTCATTTAAAAAATAGTAATATTTTGAAGAAGAAAAAGTAGATATTTGACTCAGAGCCACACAGGCTGTCTATGTTTGAGGAGGAGCCAAAATTCCAACTTTTTTGTGCTCAATTCTGTTCCCATAATGGTATACAGCATTTCTAAGATCACTTCAGGGAAGTTTTCAAACATCTCAAAACGTTAGCACAGTGAATTATCTGCTATTTTCCACTTTATTATTGGGAGAGATTAAACTGGTTAGACTATTGTTCTTATATAATTTTTAACACTGAACTATTTTGTGGTCAGAGAAGGCTTTCGTTAGGTCTCTTCTGCTTTAACCCCTACATTGTACATATCTATCAATTGCATTCGCTCTGTGTATATTTTTAAATGTTGACAGCCATGAGATGAGCAGTGGTAAACAGGAATAAGCCACATTCTCAGACTTCAAGGCTGAGAGTGAGAGGCTTTTAATATTCTTATGGTTATGTAGGCCTGGCATATGTGTTCTGGAAATATTGTGGCTCTTCTAAAGCTCCCCCCCCCCTTATTAAAATTAGTTAATTGGCCTTCCGAATTTCATTGTGATTTTTGAGTCCTACAGTATTTGAGATCAAAGACCTTCCTTCCTACAGCCTCTCAACAGAATCCCCTTAACACTGGCAGGTTTTTAAGATTCCACACATTGCTTTGAGGTGTTTGGTTGATGTATTTGCTACAGGTACTTTGTAACTGGCTATCATTTGCCTTTAAGTCTGTGCTGATGCACTGCGAGCCTGATGTCGTGACTTGGATCGCTAGGGATGTCCCTAATTCCCTGGGTATTAACTTCATGTTTTCTTAGGAAGGTACAAAAGTAGTTCCCAAATACAATTCAGAGAGAAGTATCAGTTAACAAGGATTTATTGACATGTGTTCTTCCATTTAACAGATATTTACCCAGTGCTTACTGTATGTTTGGGTCTATGTTAATAGGGACTTAAAAGATAAGAGGTGACACTGCCCTGGAATTGCTCACAGCCAGGAGGGTACATTAGGTGTTAAAACACTTACAGTAAGATGAAATAGGTGTTAACAGTGGTCTAAAAGCACGGAGCAAGGAAAGGGGAAGTTTCACAGAAGAAGTGAGGGTTGAACTGGACCCTGAAGGCTGAGTAGGAATTTACCATGGAGACATTGTTAGGAAGGAGATTCCAAGCAGCATTTGGGAAGGATGGTAACCCCTCTTCTATACTAAGCACTTTATGCATTTTATTTAATGTATTTAATCCTGTAGCCCTAATGAGGAGCTCTGTTGCCCTTTTACAGACAAGTGTACTGTGGTTCGGAGAGATTAATTGCCCAAGGTCGCACATTCAGTACGTGACCGAGCTAGGCTTCATCCCTGTCTAACTGAATATGCCTTGACTTGTAACCATTGTGAAACATGACCTCCCTAGAAGCAGAGGAGCCGTAAAGAACATGGTGTTTCCACAGGTCTTGGGGAACCCAGCTTTGTTACTCTCAGAATTGTAACAGTGGTAGATGACATCGGAAGGAAGGACTGAGGACATTTATGTGCCACGTTTTAGAACCTGGTGTCCTTGCCTGAAAATTTTTGTGTTAACTGTGGAAATGGGGTGCAGATGTGGGCCTTGAGCAAAAGAGAGGTCAGTGTCAGGTTAACACTTTCAGTGACAACTCTAGAAGTACTTTGGAGAAGGCGATTTGAGGAATTCTAGACTGAGAAGCATGGGGGCCTGTGAGGGGTCTGCTTCGGTTGTCCCAGTGAAAGACCACAGGAGTGGGCGTTGAGGCCCCGTCACTGGAGAGGGAGTAGGCCGGAGAGGCAAGGCTTAATGGGGACTCAGAAGGTGAGAGAGACACTGAGAAGGATTTCCAGATATAAAGCTTGAGTGACTATGTGGAGGAGAAGCCTTTAATCAGAATTTGAGGCTATGGGAGGAGGAAAGGGTTTTAGAAGGAAAATCATGAGTTCAGTTGAATTGTCTGTGGGAGAAGCGGGCACAAGGGTCCTGGGCTCAGGAGACTAGATCGGGCAGATCTGAGCTGGAATGGGTAGCTGTGAACTCATCTGTCCTTGGGTGCTTGCTGACGCCCTGGCTGTGGTCAGGATCAATGAGGGAGAATTACGGGAATTAAGAGGCCAGGGGAGTTGAGGCTTGAACCCCGAGGAACCCGTGAACCCAACCAAGGATAGGTGAACTAATAGCTGAGAAGACCGAGAAAAGGCAGTTGGAGAGACAGGAGTTGATCCAGTTAATTGTCGAGCTCTCTTTGGTTCTAGTGTCTAAACTTGTGTGATTGTATTTTAAATTATGCAAAACGTTAAGATTGTTGTTAGAAAAATTGGAGTGAATTTCTGATGCTCAAAATGCTTTGCTGTCTTTTTAGGAGTTTCTGAAGCCTCAAGGTTAATTTTGTCCCTACTGAAGCCTCATGCTTTATGTAGCGGGGTTTTTCTTCTGAATCACTCTTTCCCACCCTGAAGAGAATGGTTCTCTAGAAGAGAGGTACTTCATATTTTAGGTCTTTGTATTTCCTGGTGCTTGAAAGATCACAGTGGGGAGGAGGGGTGCAGAGAGCAGGACTTGAGAACAAAAGCTGTGGACGGGCCTGTACTACTCTTAGATATACTCATGACTTCCTAATTCATTTTCGGGACTGCTCTGCTTTTGGCATAGAATGAGTATTAAATAACCTGTCCAGCTACCCTGACAAAAGTTCACTTACCATGAAATATCATCAGTGACTTTAATAATAAAAGGGTTTGATCAGAAGTCTTCAAAAAATTGGTCTGAGAAGTAAAATCCCTCAATCTATGAAATCGCACTTCAGATAGGCCCAGGTACTAGACTGTATTCTACTCTCTTTTATTAGAAGCAAGCACTCCTCATATAGTCACTGTGCAGGCTATGTGTCATTTAAAGAAAATTTAAAGGTCTTGGCCTGCTACTAAGAAGGACCTGAAATTTCAATTTATAATCCAGGGTATTCCAAGCCATTTTTTGAATTGTTGTGTTACATATACAGACTGCTTCTATCCTTTGGTAGTGTATAGAGCCCAAAAGGTAGGATTCAGAAAGGGACTAACAGAAGAAATAGTGTTGGCCAGATTTCACTAATGGATTGTAAGCTCCTAAAGGGCAGGGACTCTGCCCCTTCTGTGGCTAGACCTTAGCTAATATTAGTTGAGTGAAAGATGTGTTGTGAATGACAAATTGATCTTGAAGATTTATATAAAGTTCACCAAGCAGGATGGATTAAGACTTGTGGTTAGTTGCCTGAGGCTGGTAAGAGTTCCTAACTGAGGGGACCCTGGCTGCCAGTGCTCTCCCGTCCCTCACAGCTTTGCAATAATAGTACCGAAAGAAATTCCAAGCAGATTCTTAGTAGAAGACTGGGGGCCCCTTGGCTTGCACCATGAGTTTTGTTTAGACAGGAATGTTCAGGGATGGTATGTGTGCCTGAAATAGAAGTCGCTACTTTGTGTTCCTTGTTGAAAAGCTGAGTATCCCAGCAGCCTACAGAAATACACTGTTAAGAGAGCTAAGCCATCGACCAGAGGAAGGCCCCAAACTGTGTGGTGGTTGGTTTGTTGGGCTGAATGGCCTTAAGTGGTCATTATAGTCAAAGAAGCCCAGAAATTTTTAAAAAATAGATTAAGGGTTTACAGGATGCTACAATGCATATCTACATGGGAATCTTTCAAGCCTAAAAGTGCACCTTTTTTCTGTCAGTGGATCATACATACTTCTTCCTAGGTATAGTTGGTTTTCCAAGTAGTAGAGAAGACCAAGAATGAAGATACTCGTATTTTCAGAATCAAGCTAGCTAGACATTGGAGAAAAAGTAATGAACAAGACAGTTAAGATCTCTGCCCTCATGGTAATAAAGCAGCTGCTAAATGAAGTATGAAAGGGGTTGTGACCTGGAGGAGGTGGAGCCAGGACCAAGATGACATGTTCCAGCTTTATCTGTACCCTGTTTCATTTTATTTATGGATCGAGTGGAACACCTGGGGTGTGCCAGGCCCTGTGCTAAGTGTTAGGTATAGACAATGAACAAGACCGGTGCCTTCTGCCTCCACAGGGAACTTACTGTAAAGATCCTGGGTATGTACAGCAAACTGCTTGTCTGTTAGGTGTAGCATTCATAGATTCCTTTTTTTCAGGATCCCAAGTTTTGTAGCCTTACCAAGTCCACCAGTCTTTCTCCTTTATTTAATCAGAGGCTGTCCGCGCCATAGCCACTCTCCCTGTCAGGGTGTTCATGAGGTCCCTCCTGGGCATACAGCTTTTTCCATTTAGTGAACCTGATTTGGACTGTAAAGGTGGGGTGGGGGATGACTTAAAAAAATACCCCATTCGAACAGACAGACCTCTTCTGTTCCATTCACGTTTGCTTTCTGAATTCCAGATTGGCGGCAGTAAGCACACAATGAATGATCACTTACATGTTGGCAGCCACAGCCACGGACAGATCCAGGTTCAGCAGCTGTTTGAGGATAACAGTAACAAGCGGACAGTGCTCACGACACAACCAAACGGGCTTACGACAGTGGGTAAAACGGGATTGCCGGTAGTGCCCGAGCGGCAGCTGGAGAGCATCCACAGACGGCAGGGGAGCTCCACCTCTCTGAAGTCTATGGAAGGCATGGGGAAGGTGAAAGCCACCCCCATGACACCCGAACAAGCAATGAAGCAATACATGCAAAAACTCACCACCTTTGAACACCATGAGATTTTCAGCTACCCTGAAATCTATTTCTTGGGTCCAAATGCAAAGAAGCGCCAGGGCATGACAGGTGGGCCCAACAATGGTGGCTACGATGACGACCAGGGATCATACGTGCAGGTGCCCCACGATCACGTGGCTTACAGGTACGAGGTCCTCAAGGTCATTGGGAAGGGAAGCTTTGGGCAGGTCGTCAAGGCCTATGACCACAAAGTCCACCAGCACGTGGCCCTGAAAATGGTGCGGAACGAGAAGCGTTTCCACCGGCAGGCAGCAGAGGAGATTCGAATCCTGGAACACCTGCGGAAGCAGGACAAGGACAACACTATGAATGTCATCCACATGCTGGAGAACTTCACCTTCCGAAACCACATCTGCATGACGTTTGAGCTGCTGAGCATGAACCTCTATGAGCTCATCAAGAAGAATAAGTTCCAGGGCTTCAGCCTCCCTTTGGTTCGCAAGTTTGCCCACTCGATTCTGCAGTGCTTGGATGCTTTGCACAAAAACAGAATAATTCACTGTGACCTGAAGCCCGAGAACATTTTATTAAAGCAGCAGGGTAGAAGTGGTATTAAAGTGATCGATTTTGGCTCCAGTTGTTATGAGCATCAGCGTGTCTACACGTACATTCAGTCCCGTTTTTACCGGGCTCCGGAAGTGATCCTTGGCGCCAGGTACGGCATGCCCATAGATATGTGGAGCCTGGGTTGCATTTTAGCAGAGCTCCTGACCGGTTACCCCCTCTTGCCCGGGGAAGATGAAGGGGACCAGCTGGCTTGTATGATTGAACTGTTGGGCATGCCCTCCCAGAAACTGCTGGATGCATCCAAACGAGCCAAAAATTTTGTGAGCTCCAAGGGTTATCCCCGTTACTGCACTGTTACAACACTCTCAGATGGCTCTGTGGTTCTCAATGGAGGCCGTTCCAGGAGGGGGAAACTGAGGGGCCCACCGGAGAGCAGAGAGTGGGGGAATGCACTGAAGGGGTGTGACGATCCCCTTTTCCTTGACTTCTTGAAACAGTGTTTAGAATGGGATCCTGCGGTTCGCATGACCCCTGGCCAGGCTTTACGGCATCCCTGGCTGAGGAGGCGGTTGCCAAAGCCTCCGACTGGGGAGAAGACGTCAGTGAAAAGGATAACCGAGAGCACTGGTGCTATCACATCCATTTCCAAGTTACCTCCACCTTCCAGCTCAGCTTCCAAACTGAGGACTAATTTGGCACAGATGACAGATGCCAACGGGAATATTCAGCAGAGGACAGTGTTGCCAAAACTTGTTAGCTGAGCTGAGTCCCCTGATGCTGGGTAATCTGAAAGATACGACGTTGCTGAGCCTTACTGGGTTGAAAAGGAGTAGCTCAGACCTGTTTTTATTTGCTCAATAACTCAACTCATTTGTATCTTTTCAGCACTTATTTTAATGTAAGAAAGTTGTTCATTTTGTTTTTATAAAATACATGGGGACAATGCTTTAAGTTTTTATACTTCCTGAAACTGTTTTTGTGTTCTAAAAGTATGATGAGCCTTACTGTATTTAGTGTGGCAGAGTAATAAACATCAGTGGCAGGCCATTGATTACTTCGTGACTGCTGCGCATTTACAGATTGGTGTCAAAGACGTTCACTGTTTTTATGGTTCATAATATATTCTCCCTCCCAGGCAATTGCCCCCGAAAGGTCCCCCTTCTCTCGCCATGCTCCAGGTTTGCGCACAGGTGTAGCATGTCCCGCTTCCGTTTCCCGTAAGTGACGTGGGTGGTAGTAAGGCTGGGAGAAGAGCGGTTAGGACAAAAATGATTAATAAGCAGAACTGACCTTAGATCCTAAACTAGCGGTCAGACAAACACAAAATCCCCAAGTTGACGTGCCCACTTAGCATTCTGACTTTCTTAAAGCTGGCCAAGCAGACCTGGGTGGATAAATGGAAACGCGTGTGTTCCTCCAAATTCTCTAATATGATCAGCGAGCTGTTTGTAAAGAAGCCTCATAGTACGTACGGAATTGGTTTTGCACCTAAATATAGAAATGTATTCCATAAATTGTTCCTCCTCTTTGCTTTTCTCCTCTCTGTTCCTCTTTCACCACACATCTGTTGCTTGCATTTAGTTTTTTTTTTTTTCCCTTCCTTCACATATATATCCCAGACTGTTAATACAGAAGAGAGACATTTCAGCTGTGATTATGACCATTGTTTCATATCCCAGTTTAAAAAAGAACAGCAGCCTAGCTACTTCAGGTGGGGATTTCCATAGTTCCAAAGAAGGGTTAGCATATTAGAGTGAGTTCACACTTTTCAGGTGCCACTGTAACATTCTCTTCACCTGGGAAAGCATCAATTCTTTCTTTAAAAGAAAGACGCTTGAAAAATCCTCTTGCTGAACAGAAGTCATTGTGACTTTTCAGTGAAGTCCATTTAAACAACGAATTTAAAGGAGGAAAAGTTTAATCTCAAGTTAAATGGTTTGACTTATTTGCATCATTAGGAAAATCACAAATCACATTCCTCTGTTTAACTTTCTTTTGGATTGCACTGACTGTTTTTGTGGGAATGACACTTTACCTGGAAAAGTAACTGAGAGTTAGTTAAAAGAATATTTTCGTCTCTGAATAATAATTATTTTCAAAGTGAAAAATTAAGTATTTTATCACTAATGTATGAGCAGTGATATTTATCAATTTCAAGGCACATGGAAGAAATTTTTTAGTATGTGCAATTTAATATAGAAAGATTTTTGCCTGTTTGGACAATAGGTTTTGGGTAGTATAAATTAGGAGAAATACTCTTTTATATGCACAGATATTATTGTATTGCCTGTAAGCTGATTTACAAGTACTTAAAGCATGGTCCCCAGCAAGGCCAAGAAAGTTTCCGGTTAAGTTCTTTTAATATTAGTCCTACAGTTTCTCTTACTTAGAAAGAAAGAAAAAAGAAAGTAGTTTTGAACAAAACACTTATCTTGAGGCTTTGTCAGTTGATGAAGAAAATGCTCAGGAAATATTACAGTTATTTGCCAAAAAACAGTAATAAGACTAGCTTATTAATAAGATAGTGATGTTGATACTTGCTTTACTATTTAAGGGTGCCACTGATAAATTAATTTTTACTTCTGTATTTAGAAACTATAGCTTCTTTCCCCTAGTCAAATTCTTTAGCATATTGTACACATTTCGGTGTAATCTGTGGAAGTGCAATAATATGTTAGTGATGATACCCCCCAATCAGTGGCTTATAGAATTTAAAGATTGTGTATTTATTATTAAAATTTTGACTTCAAAGACATAAGAAGTGTAAGACTTGGTATGGTGGCTTTTTAAAACCATAAGCCTCTGGATGATGGTTAGCTTCTTTAGGTCATTCAAATAAACAAAAACATAAAGGCTGTTTTCCCCTTGGAATTCTCCTCTTCCATATCCATCCTCATTTTCACATTTAGGTTTACATGAACCTGAGCCTGCCATTAATAGGAATTTCCCTATAAAATACATGTGAAAATTTATAAATGGACTAATACTGCTTGTCTTTCCCCCACCACAGAAAACTGGTCCTTAAGATGCCAACAGTGCATTTGTGACTATATTCACAAATGTAACCGGAAACTTTTAAGCCAAACTATAACGTGCAGCGCTATGCCCCCGCCCTCGAAATACGGTGAAATTTACTTGATTCATAAGAGCCACTATGTTCAGTGTTTAGTGATAGGGCTGCTTTAAAAAAGTTCTAGCTTATTTATATCAAAAAAAAAAAAAAAAGATGTTGCATCTCTGTGATTTTAAACAAACAAATGAAGGGCTCTAATAGGCTACTAGGAGTTGGCTTGGAAACAGTCCTCGGTCTCACAGGTTACCAGTGTCTAGGGATGTCTGCGCTGTTTTCCGATTCCAGACTAGCGCAGTGTCTTGTCTTTGGTTGCAGTCTCATCTGGCTCCGTTTCTGGCACCTCCACAGTGCGCATCACCACTTACGTGCGTTGCTACAACAGTGGAAGAGCATGGTGATGCGCGACGGTGCAGATCAACAGTAGAGGAGAAATTGTGCCCTTAGTGTTAACAATGTGCCTTTTGTTCTGAATGCCATGTTGTAGGGCATGCATTTTTTGGCCTCTTTAACTCTTTGAATACCAGGCAGTAAGGATGGAACCCACCTCTGCAAAGATACATCTGTCTTAAATATCCAGTTACTTACCGGCCTTAATAGAAACCATAAGGCGTGAATCATCATCAGGCATTGAAAAAGGTAACCACTTGGTTAGTTACACAGGAAATTCCTGTGTTTAAGGGGTTAAAGATGGTCTTTGTTGTATCTTAACATCAGACTGATTTTTTAAATGATATTTTTTGTTATGCTAACACTAGACAAAAATCAACTGTATTTGTAAAAATTTACCTCAAACCATTTAATTTTATAGTGTGATTAATCCCAGGGCATTTGGTATGAACCAAAGTGCATTCCTTTTATATGTGCCTGGCTCTAGTACGGATGGCCAGGGATTTTTACAATTTGGGTGCAAGGCACTTAAGCCACTTTTAAACTTAATGGGTGGTTTGGAGTCGGGTTAAAGGACTCCATCAGGAGGTTAGGCAACACTTTAGGCGTCAGTAGCATTGGGCCATATTGGAATCTTAAAAGTGTGAATTATTATAAAGAGAGCATTCATTTTTGTAATTTTTCTCATCAAGAATATTTCTGGTAAGCAGAAGACTTTAAAACTGATTTGGTTGGTCAAGGTTTTAATATCGCCCAACATAATGCTGTGGTAGCATTAGAAAAAAAAGTATTTGTCAACTCTGTTTCTTAGGGGCTTGTACATCTCTCTGCTATGGACATATATAAGATTAATTGTAATCATACTCAGCCCAACTGCTACAGATCTGTCTAGGCAGTGGCTTGGGTTTTTATCGAGCAACATCTTAGACACGTGACTGAAATATGCTGCAACTGTGTGTACTGAAAATATGTGAAAATGGTTGAATGTGGACTGTGTACATATGTATGTAAACATTTCTGTGAGATGCTGCTGTCGCCACTTAACATGAAATATGTTCTGGTGGGTTTTAATCCTAGTGGCCAGTTCTATGATACTGTATGTATTGTACAGCTGAAGACAGGAGTAAGACTGTTCAGTGAATATTTGTTACATTTTATTGTCGTGGCCAGAGATAATTTCAGAATAAAAATTTAATGTCCTACCTTACTTTTCTCCCCTTTTCTAACTATAATTTAACTCCCGATCTATTTCTGGTGATACTCTTGGTCTGGTAGACTGGAGAGAGTTTAGAAGGCAAACACTGTCAGCTACAGTTGGTTTTTTTATTAGTTCAATATAAATGTGCAAGTTTCAAGTAAGAAAGACTAAGGTTTTAGCAGGCAACTCTTGCTTTTCTCAAGATACCCTATTCTTTCACCTGTAATGTTTCTGTGTTAATTTTCCTTTATATGGCCTCTGCGGCTGCCTTCTGTATCCTGTTAGAACTTCAAATCTTTTTTCTTTCTTTTTTTTTTTTTAAATCTTCAAGGTAACAAGTTGTGGGAGCAGAGACTGGGAATTATTCCCCACCAATCTTTATTCTTTTTTGTGTACAAGTTGTGGCAAATTCTTCGTATATGCTCTCACCAGCTCCCCCGTATGCTTCTTAATGCTTCCGTAGTCATTTTACTTGGTGGTCTCTATAGTTCATGTCTTTTGGGTGTCTGTGTCTCATCCTGCCACGGCTTGATCAGAAAATAGGACCTGGAAATAGCAACTAGCTCGTGATTTGTCAAGTTTAGTTAATACCAAGCTAAGAGTTTGCTTACAGATGACAGCAAGCAGATGCTATAGTAATTTGTCAGACATTGTAGGCATATATGTAGACAAAGATTTCCCTCTTGTGGAAAGAACTACTTCACATTTTGATTTACACCCCTCCTGCCACCAAAGGCCAAGAAATTACTTAGCGTGGCTTCCTTCAACAAAAGTGGGAGTTGCTAAAACAAGGGGATCCTGTCGGTGTTCCCAAACCCATATCCTACACCGTAATCTCCCATTACTGCTTCTCTTGCTATCAGAGTTTTTCTCAACTGAAAAAATACCAACTGACCAAGAGACTCAACATAGTTAGAAAAAAAATTTTAAGAGATGTGCATTACATATAAAATTGAAAGTTGATCCTAAAAGCAGCAATTTAAATTTAAAATAGATTGTCCAGCTCTGACTTAGAGATTATGATTCCCACTCATTCTCTTTTGTCAGATCTTTTTAAGGCTCGCTCTTAAGTTGATTAATACTTTATTCTGTGTGAATTTCTGTAATCTTTTTGCTTTGAGAATCAACACCCCAACAAATAACTATTTTTGGAACTTCAAAGTTGCCTTTAAACTAGCACTAGAGAATGTTCTTGGCTGGCATTGGTATTGGCCTTTTAAAGAACGGGAAATTCGTTTCTTTTCATTTGGAAGGAGAGCATTAAGAGATTTGAAGAAAGGGTATTTGTGACTGTTTCATTGTTGTTTTTTAAAAGTTTGAATTACATTGGTTCTTTTTTAGTCATTAGGCAAATAAACACTTGTCATTAGAGATGCTTAACACTGTCCAAAAT